ATTTTCTAATCTAGGATATTCTAAATTGTACAAAGTGCTTTTATAAAAATATTTAATAAATGATGATTATAAAACAAAAAAAAAACGGAACTTTAAAAAATGTGAAGAAAACAACTCTACGGAAAGGCCAGAAGATACATCGTAGGAATAACAAAAGGAATCGATCTCGACATGGCTACACTGAGGAAAACATAAACGCGAAATTAATTCGCTCTTAATAACAGTACAAAACAACGACATCGGAACCAATTTTTCAATTATATAAAGCTTAAAATCGACAAACCCATGATATCGACTAAAGTAAAATAGATATGAAACAACTACAAAATAAGCGAATGTGGTGAATTGATATGAGGCCACAGAGATTTCGTTCTATAGAAGGATGTTATGAACTGATCACGTGAGCAACGACGGACTTTTAAAGAAAATGAAAACAAAAATACACTTATAATTTGAATCAGAAAGAGACAGTTCAATTTTCTAAAGTCGTTAATTAAGAGGGAACGAAGGAGATATTTAAGTCAAAAGGGAAACAGCGAGAAACATACCTAAGGAGCTTGCGTAAATCGATGGTCGGACAGGAATTTGGCGGGATATTAAAAAGAAATACATTGTTCAGAGATTGGATGTTGTGGAGAGCAATGATCGACCATGTCTTGTAAGGAAAAGACAAACGAAGAGGAAAAAAACATGGAGAAGGAAGAAGAAAAAAGAAGGAGAACGAAGGGAGAAGAAGAAAGAATGAGAACGGAGAGGAAAGAAGAAGAAGAAGAAGAAGAAGAAGAAGAAGAAGAAGAAGAAGAAGAAGAAGAAGGGAGAAGAAGAAAGAAGGAGGGAGAAGAAGAAAGAAGGAGGGAGAAGAAAAGAGAAAGGAAGAAGAAGCAGAAGAAGAAGAAAGAAGGAGGGAGAAGAAAAGAGAAAGGAAGAAGAAGCAGAAGAAGAAAGAAGGAGGGAGAACATGACTCAGTGGATAAAGACGTTGGTTAGATCCAGTAACTTGACCCAAAGAGTTGTGAGTTCAATAGCAGGCCACAACAGTGGTGAACCAAAACTGAACTGAGAACTGAGTTAAAGGGAAAACAACTGAGTTAAAGGGAAATAACTGAGATATCTGGAAAAGGCATGGCACGTGGAACTAGAACAATCTACCCTGGTGGACGAAATAAAGGGTTCAGTTCGAAATTCCAATCTCTTGAAGAAGTGTTCAACGGCCGAAACGTTGTGAATATGGCAATATAGATGAAGGTAACTGTCCGAATAATGTAAATATTGTAAGCAATCATAATACCTCATCTCAGAGATATAAAGAGACATATATTTCAATGGTTGGACAAAAAATGTAATTCCTGAAGTTTTCTCATTTCTGAGATGGAACGAATACATTGAGTCAATAGCTTTGTCCACCGCTAGGGAAGTTGGCTCCCTGTGCCGCACCAGGAATTTTTTCTCGCCGGATTCGATCCTTCAAATCTACAAGTCAACCCATTCGCCCTTACCTGGAGTATTGCTGCCATATATGGTCTGGAGCCCCTTCTAATTGTCTCAAGGTCCTTGATAAAATCCAAAGACCGATATGCAATGTAAATGTCCTTGATCTGGCATCTCGGCTGCAATCGCTCTCTCACAGACGTGCCGTTGCCTCCCTCTGTCTTTTTTTACAAATACTTTCACGGCAACTGCTCCGATGAGCTGCTTTCGCTGGCTCCCAGACTTCAGGATTTTAAGCGTTCAACTAGGCTGGCATCTCGCTCTCACCCTTTCACTGTTGAAACTGCTAAAAGTTGCCGTCTCTTCTACTCCAATAGCTTCATGTCTCGCACTTCCCGCCTGTGGAACTCCCTCCTCATTTCTTGTTTTCCTGATAACTATAATCTCCAACTATTCAAATGTAATGTCAATCGACGTCTCCAGATGTCTTGATCTATCCCCTATCCTTCTCTTCATCCTTTCCTCTATCACTCCTCTTTGTTCTCGCTTCAACTCTGTAACCCCTTGCGTGCTAGAGGCTTCCCGCCTTGGTTGGTGTTGAATGCTTAAAAAATAAAAAAAAATAAATAAACTTAATTTACTGTCGTGGTATATTTCTCCAATGTGCCTGATTTGACCAATCTTGGTAAATATCTGCACAATTAAATGGACCTAGTCATGTTTCTGTGTTAATTCAATTTTAAATATAATATAATTTGACAAGATTTAGGAGAAATGATTCTTATGCAAGATTAATTTGCACTTTATTTATTTTAAGCAATTCAAATATTTTATGGCTTTTAATTCGAGGTATTTAGGTAAATTGGTTTTCTAGTCCTACGACCTTCGGCAGCAAGATTTCTCATCGAGATGATTTGAGGAGCGTGGAACCACCTCTTCATAACTCCTGTTCCAAGAGTAGTAGCACCTGTTCGGGTCTCAGCTATGAGGCAACAGTTGACCCCCAAACTGGGGTCAAAACAGTATTAAAGCATAGCTTTTTATAGTAAAAATACCATTTTTGAAAAAACAAAATTACCAGCTATACATTGGCTCTCGACATAAACCTTCTTTACAAAAATACTCAATGAAATCTGACGTACAAACTGATTTCATATAGAGAATACGTATTCTATTTAAACGAACCTATCCTAAAAATCTTGTTGTTATTACATATCCCATTGAGGTTGATATACCGTAAAACAAAGTAAGCTAAACCAAGCTGGCTTTCTCTGACACAGTCAAAATAACGGGGCACCAAGTTAGAATAGATAGAATTCGCAATGTACATATTTAATTTATTATTTTTATATTTATGATGTGTTCTTGTGCCACACTTGAACTTATGCTCACGGACATATTTATGATAATATATTTCAGTACGGAATATTTTAAACATGGAAAAGATTCGATAACTTATCTTTCATAAGTTTAATCTAAACTTATTGGGTCTTCTACTTGATTTTTTTTACTGGCGTCAAAGCAAAAAAAAAGTGAAATTTAAATAATAAATATTTTATCGGGCATGAAACAAAAAGTGGAGTATGCTAAGAGATATGTGGCAGGAAGTTGTGGAGGACCATGATCGCCCATATCCTGAAGGGTAAGTGCACATAAAAGAAAAAGATATTAATTTTATAAATAAAAGAAAGAAAATTCAAAGTAATCATAAATTAATTTTTAAAGAAAGTATTTTTCTGTTTTTATCTAATATATTAGCCGAGTACAAAATTATCTACCCAGACTTGGTTACGAAGATAGGACCTGTTACAATTCTATGGGACTTCACAATAGACACAATCAAAGTTAATCACCCAGACATCGTGATTAGACACTGCAAAAACAAAACATGCGTCCTTATTGATACGGCATTGTTTGCAGACAGAATATCTTCACAAAGCTAACAGAATACGAGGACATTGAAATCGAAATCTCAAAAATGCAACACATGAAACCATTAACAATTCCAGTTGTAGTCCTCGGATTGATTGGAAAAATTTCAATAGACTAATTGAAGGGATTCCTGCTAGGCCATGCCTTAAACAAATACAAAAAAAAATTCTCATGAGTTCACCCCACATTTGACGAAAGGCTTTATTTATGCAAAATATGTGTGATTTTTTTTTAATTGCTCAGTGGAAAATGTCATGGCGCCATGTCTGACCTTAGGTCTCTGGTCGGGACCCGGAAAGAAATGAGTAAACACCAGAAATCAAAGGAAAGAAAATAAACATAATCATAATTATAATACAAACCATTGACATATATAGACAGCAGTACTTTTCCTTGAACATAAGACTAAATTTAATAGTCATAAATAAAATGCCGTATTAGATAATGTATTTCACTGTTCCTGCAGACGAATAAAATTTGAGGAAAGTTGAAATCTAGATAAATATCCTGACCTTGGCGGAGAGCTGGTAAAATTGTGAAATGTGGTGGTGACAGTCCTGCCTGTTATTATCGGAATGCTAGGAACAGCATGGAGGAACCTAACAAAAGGATGGAGGAGCAAGAAATGTGTGGGAAGATTGCGACTATGCAAACAGCATTATTAAAATCTGCTGTAATAATGAGGTGAGTTCTGGGCTATTGAGGAGTATGTTGTCACTTGGGTTCCAGCGAGAATCACCTGTTACACTTGGTGTAATACCCCCAAGTGGAAACAAACACCACAAAAACAATAATAATGACAGCAAGAAAAACAGTAACAAGTTTAGTAGGTAATGTGATAAGGAAGAGCAAAAGGATGTGTGTAGAAAAACAGATGAATCTGCCCATCATATAAGTGAATGAGGCAAACAAAATCAGAAGGCGTATATAAACAGGTGTCGGAGTTACCTTCTCCTAAATTTTGAAAACACCACTTGGTGGCACTCTCGAATGCTATATATACTCAGCGAGATCTGGTCTCGTTCTCTTTCTCTTCTCACTTTTCAGCTGACAACTAAATGTAGATATCTGTGGTGATTTGCGTTTTTCCCTTTGGGGGAAATGTCATGAACAATACATGTACACATACGCACGTACGCACGAACAGTCACACACGCATACTTTGAAAGTCAAACTCTCCACATTCATTTGTTACACACACATTATTGTCTTTGTCCTTTGTAAACACTTTTTGTTTGTTAATACAATATTCATTTGTACATATTTATAGTTTCTTGTTGTTTTCTTCATATTTCATTTTACATTTCTTTTGGCGGACTCATAGATACCTAGTCCACCATGTTTGTCGTGGGCTATTTTAGGAGACAGCACGTTTTCATCTCAAACCCCGTGTACACACCGGCCCGTAGAACTAGGCATGACTGAGTTGGAACGGCGATTCATCAAGAATCATGCAAACGGCTGAGTTTTCACTATGCGTATACAACAACCAGAAACATTTCTACAGAAAACAATACAAACAAAAATAAACATGGTTATGAATATTTGATCACTTTGAAATTTCGACAGATCACCCAATTTTAGCCAGGAGAGCAAAAATTCATCATTGTAAAGCATTTCTGTCACATTATTTTAGAAAGTCACAGAGTACTATTGAAAGAAAAGTAACACGGGATATTATGGTTGAACTGGCCCCGGAAATGGAAAAAAAAAATAGGGAATATGGAAGTATGGCATTTGTACCCGCTGATACGGGCACGGTTAAAATTGCCTTGAAGAAATTTGTGATAAAAATTAGTAGGAGAGGATAGAAAGAACTGAAAAAAGATAGAAACGAAACAGAACTAAAATATTTAAAAATGTAACTACTAAAATCTACTAAAACCCTCTTGAAAAATGAATAATGAAGTTGCTGTATTAACTGGCTTGCTATCACTTTACCTCACGCTGGAACCAGCAATTACGTTAAGTATGACTGGACAATCGGTATAACTCCAATAAATGAAATGATGGATCCAAGTAACATGATAAAAGAAAATGAACTCATGGAAATAGAATTAACGAAAAGAAATGAAATAATTAATAACATAAGTAATAATGAGAGAAGTGAACAGAGATTAAGAAAATAAACGATTTTTTTTTGTCCTGGTATAAAAAGAAAATGTTTTGAATTCATTTAAAAAATGCGTTCACTTCTCCCTCAATCTTCAAATATTTTCTTAATTACTTTTTAAAATAAATCTATAAAACAATTTATTCAGTTAGGGTATATAAAAATGCTATTTATAATCGTGTTACCTAAATATACAGATCAGATGGTTTGAATTATATATCATTCAGAGTTTAGGAAATAATTCTTTCTCTGCAATCATGTGAATATTTGATTTTCAAAATATTTTTGCATAGGATAAGTGATACATATTGTAGAATCGTTTTAATTAGACTAAATTACTTGATATAGACTTTTTTCAAGCTGTAATGCTTTAAATTGGATATGTACATGAAGTAGTTAACCATCTGTACAATGTGGAATATATATACAACAACAAATATATATATATATATATATATATATATATATATATATATATATATATATATATATATATATATATGAATTCCACTCGGTTCTTGAGCGCCATGGTTAAAATTTAGCTGATAATCGTAAAAATACAATGAAAAACTAAGCAGAGAGACACTCTACGTTCTTTTTAATGGCTTTATATGAAAACACACATAAACCCACACATATATAATATATATACATTCATATATTTGAATACACATACAAACACACAGAGACAAATATACACACACACACACACACATATATATATATATATATATATATAAACCAATAAAAAAAATTAATGAACGTGTAAAATTATTTTTTCATTGTATATTTTTCACATTATCTTTATTTTTCTTCCGTAATTTCAATATAATTTCGTTTTCCCTGTAAATTACATATGTAGAATGATAATTTCATATGCCTTTCTATCAGGAGAAAAGCTATGACATATATATATATATATATATATATATATATATATATATATATATATATATACAATGGCCAGAGTTGAATCAGACCAGGAAACAGTAGTATTAAATTGTGCTAAATACATGTGTGAAAAAATAAAATAAAAGTAAAAATAACATGTAGGGCTTGTAACTTCAAAATCAGGAGGTCAGTTGAATACGTTACCTTGTTTTCAACCTTACGGTATTCTAAGGCGATTTTCATCAAATGAACACCTAACGCATTTTTATTTAAAAAAAAACCTAAAAAAAAAAAATAAAAAATAAATAAAACCCGAAAAAACAAAACAAAATAAACAACGGTAAAGTATTATTTTCCCAAAATAAATAAATAAACGCGTTGGGTGCTCATTTGATAAAAAACATCGACTGAGGATAACGTAAGGTTGAAACCAAGGTATGTGTGCATATATATATATATATATATATATATATATATATATATATATATATATATATATATATATATATATATATATACATAAATATTTATATATGTATGTATATATGCATATATGCATACTAGATAATAAATTATATTTAAAATTCGTTATTCCGTGAAAAGTATGCCCAGAAATTAGTATAGTGTATTTGTATGTTTAAAGAATCTAGTAGAAGTATCGATAGGAACACTGAAAGAACATTTTATTAAGTCTCTCTTAAAAATATGTTTCTATGACGACATGCGTATACTCAAAATAACGTCTGGAGGATAAATTATAACCGAAATGGATCTTTAAGCCTTTTTACTTTTATATATATATATATATATATATATATATATATATATATATATATATATATATATATATATATCATTATTATAAGATATTATAATAAAAATTGTTTTTATTCAGGCGATGATAAGTAACTGGTGATGAAATGATTTTAAGCTTAAAAATCATTTAATCATCTGTTACTTATCACCGCCTGAAGAAGTACAATTAACGTATTAAAACATGAAAACTTTTGTTTAGTGATTTCAATATGTTTTTATTATAATCATTTATAATAATATTAATATTATAATGCTCTACTTTGTATTGAGCACTTTTAAAAAAGTAAATGCTAGGAACAGTGAAATTTTACTCCATCTGTTTTCTTTCATTTATATTTATATTATATATATATATATATATATATATATATATATATATATATATAAATTGAGCAGCCTGGAATACATATATATATATATATATATATATATATATATATATATATATATATATATATATATATCAGTCTGTTCATTATTATCTATGTATTTCAGAATAGACTGATATATATATATATATATATATATATATATATATGTCAATCTGTTCATTATTATTTATGTATTTCAGGCTGCTCAAATTCTATCTATCAGAATAGTTTCATTATATATCTACAAATCATTTTAGTGGAGTATATTTACTTTCAATGCCCATTATCTACAGACATGTATACATTTTTATATGTATATCTGTATATGTATGTATGTATGTATGTATTTCTAACACTTATGAGCATTGGTGTTTTAGTATAATTATAATGTAAAGCCGAAAGTAAGTTTCCGAAGATCTATGTTTTGTAATTATCGGTCTATCTCTGTCTTGCGTTTAATTCTTTTAAAAAAGAAGGATTTGATCTTAATAAATATAAAGACGTGACTTTCGGGTGATTAGCTTGTTAACATACATTTAAAGGATGACCGAACAGGCAATCTAACAACTCTATCAATATCCATAAATTAATAAACAGATAAATAAAGTCCGTCACAAATGAATAAAAGGAGCTGTAGTCAGAGAGAGAAATTATGTTATGGGTTGCCAATGACAGAGTGATAAAACTGATGAGAGAGAGAGAGAGAGAAATAGAGACGTACGTAGAAAGAGAGAGAATGGGAGGGGAAAATGAAAAAAACCTAGTAAATTGGAGGGAGAGACCGAGAGAAAGACAGTAAAAGTGATGAGCCAAATTAAGGAGAAACAAATAGAAAGAAAAAAAAAAGAAAAAAAAAGAAAAGAGGATGAAGGACTAAGACAGATAGGGAACTTAGGGGCAGATAACTCAATCAAAATACATAAATAATTACGCGATAACAAAGAAATTGAACTTACACTATTTGGAAGCAGTTTGAGACGATAATAAACAACTGGCTGAGGCTCGAGCGAACCTTAGGGAATTTGAAGAATAGTTTAAATAAACTTCGTCCGGGGGCGGACATGTGTCGGTAGTGGGGCGTAAATAAGGGGGCACGCCCCGTCAGTAGACCTGAAAAGCGCAAGGGATCCCCTGAAACGAAGATAAGTTGGTGGGAGGCGGAGGCGATGATGTTAGGTGTTGGGTGTACAGGGTTAATCAACGCAAGCAAATTGTTTTTCTGTAGTTATAATGTCAGGGTAACGCTAACGAGAATGAGGAAGAGTGGGAGAAGAGAGTGGTTGGTTTGAAATATGGGACATTTGCCGTTCGGTCCCGGGTTAGGGTCGACCGTCCATCTTTGCGGCAGCCGTCGTCTTTGTCGGCTTGTAAATCTGTGTGGCTTGTTCGTTACAAACACTCGGATGATCAATGGCTACCTTCTGTAGGCAAACTGGAAGATATGTGGAGAAAAATGAAAGAAAGAATGAAAGAAAGAAATATGATAAAAGGAAACATTGGTAAAACGAGAAAGAAAAAGGATAGAAATAAGTAGACTTTGTGATACAGAAAGAAAGAAAGAAAGAAAGAAAGAAAGAAAAAAAAAGAAAGGAAGAAAGAATAAATGAAATAAAAATTATAAAATCTACAAGAAATAAGTATAATAAATGGGTACTGAAAAATAAAGAGACCGAAAAAATTAAAATAAACGCGAGAAAAAATCAAGATAAAAAATCATTAAACAAAAAAGAAGGTAAAAAGAAACAAACAAAAAGAAAGGATAAAGTAAACAAGCAAGCAAGAAAGAACATAAAAGAAAGTGCACGAAAGGCTAGAGTAAGCAAGCAAACGAGCGAGCAAAAAAGAAAGAAAGAAAGAAAGAAAGAAAGAAAGAAAGAAAAAGAAAGGCAGACAGAAAAACAGAAAGGAAAGAAGCAAGTATGGATGGAGAAATCAAAAAGAAAGAACAATAAATTTAACAAAAAATAATTTCATTTAGTAGAATCAAAACGAAAGTAAAGATTGAAGAAGGAAATAACGCAAGAAAGAAAGAAAGGAAGAAAGAAAGAAAGAAAGAAAGAAAGAAAAAAATAAAGAAAGAAATAAGGAGCAAGAAAGAACAAATCAAGTATTCAAAGAAGGAAGAAGAAATTAAACAAAGAAAGAAAAATTATATTTAGTAAACTCAAAGAGAACGAAAGAAAGAAGAAAAAGAAAATCTAACATTAAAATTAACGAAGAAAAATATTTTAATTTAATGGAATCAAACAAGAAGGAAATAAGAATGAAAAAAGAAAGTAAAAACGAAAGAAAGAAAAAGTGTAAGAAAGGATAGAGCAAGTAAGCAAGGAAGAAAGAAAAAAGAAAAAAACGAATTTAACGAAGAAAGAATAATTATACTCAATAGAATCAATGAGAAAGAAAAAACAGTAAATTTAACGAAGAAAAATAATTTATTTAATGGAATCAAAGGAAAATATAGTAAAGAAAGAAAGAAATATATACAAATGAGACAAGAGAATATGGAAGAGTTGTTTGTGGATTTTAGATTGTGAGTCAAGCAAGTTGAGAAACATCTACATCACCGAAAGTAGTGTGTGGTTGAAAGGTGTTCAATTTTTACTCGCAAGATACGGTAAAGGCTTTAACGAAAACGACAACGTCAACCCCCTTCACTGCTACTAATAGTGGGGCGGATTATTTGGATTTTGTGCTATGGCTAAGATACGTGCCTTCTGAATTTGTTGTTGAGCTGTTGTTGTTGTGGGTGAAAGGATCGAGAAACTAAGAAGAGAGTTGGTCGGTTATTGAATGAATAGAAAAAGGACGAATGAAAATGTGTCTTAGGGCGAAAAGAAAAATCGTGGTTTGTCTTCTAAGACGATTATATCCAGAACAGTCATCACTAAATCAGGATATTTTGTTGGTATGCGTTCGTGTGTATCTCTGCCTCCTTAATCATGTATGCATATATATATATATATATATATATATATATATATATATATATATATATATATATATTTATTGATAATATTAGTGATCAATTTATATCTATCTGTCTATCTATCTATCTCTATCTCTATCTCTCTCTCTTAATATATATATATATATATATATATATATATATATATATATATAAAGGATAGAATCCAGGTAGAACTCAATGTCCAGGACAAAGAAAGAATATATAATATAAAAGGCTCAAGCACTAATATTCCATGGTTATAATTTATTACATTGGAATCGTAATCACGATCCAATTCATCAGACCTAAAATTTCAATATTTTCCGATTTCTTTTTGAATTTGATGAGATGACGTCATCACAATAGATAGATATGAAGTTATTATATATATATATATATATATATATATAGATAGATAGATAGATAGATAGATAGATAGATAGATAGATAGATAGATAGATAGATATCACATGTCGATAGATTGAATGATATGAACGGGAATGCTATTAAATATAAACGGCATTAGACATATAAATAGAAAGCATCGCACAGACACACACATACATATATATATATATATATATATATATATATATATATATATATATAGATAGATAGATAGATAGATATCACCGTGATAATATAGACATGTCGATAGATTGAATGATATGAACGGGGAATGCTATTAAATATAAACGGCATTAGACATATAAATAGAAAGCATCACACACACACACACACACACACACATATATATATATATATATATATATATATATATAGATAGATAGATAGATAGATAGATAGATAGATAGATAGATAGACAGATATGAACAGCATAATAAATAAACGCGCGGATAGTGAAATAAGTTTACTTGATTGAATGTTATCGAAAAATAGAAATATTTTTGAGAGAGAAGGAAATAAAGATGACCAATAGAAGAGTATAACTTATAAAGGAATAGAGAAAGAAGGAAGGAGGGTTAGAAGAAGAAGAAGAAGAAGAAGAAGAAGAAGAAGAAGAAGAAGAAGAAGAAGATAAATATAAAAAAAAGTACAAAACTTAAAAACAGAAAGAAGAAAGGAAATGATTAAAAGAAAAATAATGAAAGAAAAACTCGAGAAAATTTGGAAGACACGAAGGGTGAAATAAATTGTGGTTAAGGTATTTAATAAAGAGAAAGAAAAGTTAATGAAAGAAAAGAGAGCGGGAAATAGAGAAAAGGAAGTGTATGAGAGAGGGAGGGGGCATACAGGAAAGATGAAGTTAGTTTCACTCTTGAGAAGAGGATGAGAGAAGATGAGGGCTATGAAGATAGAAAAATAAATCTTTGCAAATTGTCAGTTAGTTTTATTTCATCGATATGCAAGTGAGGGTGTAATTAGAATTTGGTCATGAAAGAGGAAGGAACCATAATTGGAAAACGATTTAAGAGAAAAAGGGTGGAAAAGAAATCATAAAAAAGGATGTATGCATGTGTGTGGCCATGTGCGAGTGTTCTTAAAGAAAGAAAGAAAAACACAAGCAAAAATCGTGGAGGGGGCTACAGTGATTTATAACAACCAATATTTCTACAAATTCTCGGCGCAGTGACATGTATATATCATGAAGCAATTGACATCATTTTCTTACATCACAATTTTATTTTATTTGTTTATTCATTTCTAGACGTGGGTAGAAATTTATTTGTTCAATTGAAATTTCTTAACAATTAATACGTTGAGTCATGAAGAATTTCCTGTTTTGGGAACGAATTGTAATGTCGAATTTATTATACTAACTACTAATCATATGTCAGTTATGTGCCATGCGTGATATACTTAGGCGATCATGTATCTTTTGATACATGACTGACAACGCAGATTTTTCCCGTAGTAGGTTGCCATTTTTTTCTGCGGCAGGCCAGTCGTTATGCAAGGCTTTTATAGCCTTGCATAGCGACTGGCCACCCGGTCTGTCCTGCTATTTACACATAACTGGGGTGGGGAGAAGAGGATTCATACCTTCCCCAAGAGTATTAGCACGAATGTAATCGATTCGACTGGAATCCGAACTCGGCTCTCCGATTCCTCAATCCGAGCCGTTATCCATTACGCTACAATAAATTTAAACATATGAAAATGTAGAACGCAAATGGCAAATGATTGACATGGATAAATCTACACAAACGACTGCAAAACAGATCATTGAAAGTGTTGAAACTTGACTAATGCATGGAATAATAATGCAACACAAAAGGTACTTAGAACAAAATGTATTGAAACAAGAAAGTGTACACAATATTTACATATAGTCTTTTGTATATTCCTGGTAAGACCGTTCCTGGAGAATGTGTTGACTGAGTCGCAGTCGGGCAGGGTCTCTGGTTGAATCTCTTGATTCCTCCCTCTCTTCCCGGTACCAACCATATTTTTATGGTCGGTACTCCACTATGCAAATTAGGTGGATCCTACCACAACAGAAAGAAACGCAATGTTGTGCATGTGGTGTAATCTTTGGGTTCTTAAAACGCAGTGAAAAACTATATGCACATTTATAAATCCAGTAACTGCAACGTGTCCAGAAATATTTGGTCGAAAAGCGATATGCGCTCGTCGTTAAGAAAGCGCAAGTTTGTATATAGAAAGAATAACGGAGAAAATCATTTGGGAACTCGGTCCATCGGTTTACCCGGTCTGGTGTATTCGCCTGATCTAATACCAACCGATTATTACGTTTTTTTGATCGTTGTAGATCGCTTTGATGGGGAAAACATTCTCTAATGGATACCAGATTCAAGAGTTTGTCGAACAAACTTTCTTTTACTCAAAAGATATCAACGACCACGGAAGTTAAGCAACGTCGAACATGGCCAATACCTTAATAGGTCGCCTTTTGGAAATACCAGATGCTGTAAGCTTGTATGTGCGGTTGATGTAATGGATATCGAATCGGAATTATTAAGCATAGAGCCGAATACCAATTTCAATCGCTTTCATTATATTCACTTCCGAGCAAATACCCTACGAATCCACTTATGAATCCACATCCTCTTTTCCTATCTATGGGTTAATTAGTATGACTTGTATCACTAAAACATTACTATCTCCAACAAATTACTTACAATTTAATAATGTTTTCTGGCTTTAAATAACATGAAGAAGGTTGATAATCCGTAAAAACAAATCATTTAATCAAACTAACGACACTGAAGAGCTATATGATAATTGCGACGAAAAGTAAATATATAACTGAATAAAATGATATTCCACATTATTCTTTGTAGAAGAAAGTTGATAAACAAAAACTGAAATTATTTATGACTCAAACTAATATATTGCGAACAAGTCTATCTTTTTGGTTTATCGTATTAGTTACACAAATCCTCATAAGACACGTTTCAGTTCAAACTGTTGCTATTTTTTTTTATCTGCCGTTTTCCTTCAGCATTTTTGGTGATGATGACTCTCCATTCTGTTATCCGTTGCAAAGATTAATAAATATATTGATGTTCCAATATGGAACACTCTGCTTAGGACAAAAATTGTGAAGCTCGTCAAGCTGCCAAATGATACGTTGGTGTCTTCGGTCACTACGACGTGTTCCACACACATGTCTATGTCTCAGATTTTGCACAATGTACCACCCAACTCCCCGACTTATATATAACTACAACAAATTAAAAAAACTTAATAAAATATATGATGGGAATGACAATATTGTAAATTGAAAATTAAGGCAAAATTAGCATTAGTTAGATATGCAGTTAAAGCAATTTTTGCCGGAATAATTTAGATATGAAATTAAAATTATCTCGTCTGATCATGGCTATCTCTCGAAGTCGAGAATTACGGATATTTTTCTGTTTGCCTCATTCAGATGGGTTTGTGAAGTCTGAGATGGCTAATGAAATGCTTGAAAGGTCTTTCCAGATTGAGCAGAGGTCGGTCTGGATGTTGAATTAAGCCTTTCTTGTTGTCTTAATTTTCAACATTTTTCCCCTCTAGTTCAGCTGATCGTTTGGATTTGAAGATAGATGTTTCGTATCTGACAATGGATCTCCAGAGATTCCTGTCCATTTTAATGGATTCACGGCCATTGACATCGAAATCACATTTCTTTAGAACGTCACTGAATCATTTCTTCTGATCACCTTTTTCCGATTTCCTTCTTTAAGTTGTGAGTAAAATATTTTCTTTGGTAGCCGATGATCATCTATTCGCGCCAGATGTACACTATACCGAAGTTTATTTTTTTATGACGATGGCTTCAGTGTTAATCATTTTAATTTGTTCCAGTACGCTAATGTTAGTTCTTCTGTCTTCCCAACTGATACCACGAAGACAACGCTGATAAGGTACCAGAAGCATACAGGGAATTTGAATCTCTACTATCTTGTACATTATCATTTTGTTGCCTATTCTGATATCGCGATCTTGGAATATTCTAAAAACTGAACCAAAACTAATTCTGTACATTTGAGACGGTATTTTAGAAGACATGTGGTTACCAAGATAAGGAAAGTAATCCACATTCTCCCAAACTTTTTGACCATGTTGGGTCTTTGGTTCTGTCAGGATTCTTTCAGTTGGTGATGGCTAATAGATGATTATTATCTTATTTGCGTTGATTTTTAGTCCAATTTTAGTGTATGCATTGTTGAAGGCATTCAGTATTTGTTGCAGGTGTGATCCAGAAAGTGCTGCAAAACGGTTGCCATCTGCATAGTCAAATGAAAATCAATGAACTCACTAATGTTTTGGTTTAGAAGCGAAGACGGCCAAAGTTCAATAACACCGCTTGACATTTTTTCGACCCAAATGTTGTTGGGCAATGGGCACATGTTTCCGGGATATTTTTTCAAGCTGAATCTGAAAATCAAGTCTATTTTTTCCATCACATCACGTTTTCTCAGTACAGCTAATTTCTATTTTAAATTTGCTTAAAATGGGCCAAAATACCTAATTCACACGGCTTAAATATGCGAGTGACATAGTTGCAAGATTTCGTTTCATGTTAAAATGATTTATCGTTCAAGAAAAAGTATACAAATAACTTTCCCGTCCTGGTTATGACGATATACAACATCCGCGTCCTGGGTAAGACGATAAACTACGTCCAACAGTAAGGCCTCTGATCAAGAGGTTTTGAGGAGCCTGGAACCACATCTTAATTTCTGGCGTTCCCAGGTTCACCTTGACACGAGTTGGTAGCACCTGTTAGGATCGCAGCTATGGGTAAATAGTTACCAAGCCTCAAACTATGGTTAAAATGCTATGAAAGTGTAAAAATAGGTTTTAATACCAGAAATACTTTAACAGAATATTACCAGCACTAAATTTTTGAAGGAAAAAATTATTACCAGGTATACTTTAAAAGATAATATTAACAACTATACATTTAAAAAAAAATATTACCAGCTATACATTTTTTTGAAAAAATATTACCAGAAATAGATTTTTGAAGAAAAAGTATAACCAGCAATACGTTTTTTGAAAACAAAAAAAAAAAATTACCAGCAATAAAAATTTTGTCGGCATTAAGTAACCCATTGAGGTTGATATGCCGTAAAACAAACCAAACCAAACCAAATCAAATAACTTTCACAATAAATTCTAAGCTGTTTCAATTGAGATAAACGGACCTGAAAATGCTTGATTTTATGAGAGATATATCACTGGAAAATTTTCTTGTGCCCTCAATGTTGTTAGATTGTTAAAATTTTGTGATTTATGTTTCTGTTCTACTTTTTATGCAAGAAGCTCTTTAGAATTTAAGATTTTAGTTTTTATTAGTAGTTTTCACTTTAAACCTGAAACCGTCATAAGATTTTATCAGATCACTTGAATTTACGGAGGATCTGGTATTGTCATGCAGTCTCTATATAACCTGCATAGGAACATCGATGAATGAGGGTTGTCAGGAGAGTGTATTTGAGACTAGCAAGATTAGAATTTTATTTATAAGCGCTTCAAATAGCCGCCAAGCGCCAGATAGGCATAACCAACTAGGCACTTTGCAGACGGGCTATTAACATGATGTCACATTTCTGCTGGAGCATCAAAAGTGATCAGCCCTTTCAAAAGCAAATCAGTGCTTCCAAGAGAAGATTTAAACATTGAGATGGACAAAAATGAATGTATTTTTCATTATTTTGTATCTTCTTTGTTTTGATTTAAAAATTGATGACATATGTTTAACTTAATTTAATTTTGTGTGAGATTTTTCTTTAAGTTATTTGTATAATTTACTATTATGAGTTATTCAAATCTGAAAACGTTTAATGTTGTTTCTCCTTGGCATATCATATATTGGTATTTTGGCCTATTTTAAGAAAAATAGAAATTTTCTGTACCGAGAAAACATCATGTGATGGGATAAAATGAACTTAATTTTCAGATTCAGCGTGAAAAAAAATAGTCCAAAACATGTGCCCATCGCTAAACACCATATGAGTCGGAAAAAGATGTCGACCGGTGTAATGTACGTTTTTTCTTGTAGACAATCTCAAACCTTGGAGGCAAATCATCTTTTATGATATCAATCACTGTTGCAATGAAAATGGTGAACAAAGTTATAGCAATGATACATCCTTCTTTCATTCCAAATCTGACTTGGAACTGTTCCCGTTGATGATTGTCGGCGGGGAATATGGCGCGCATGTCATCATGAAGGAGCTTAAGGATAGATATGTATTTTGGTGGACAACCATATATCGAGAGAATGTCAGGTAAAAAATAAAGCAATGGCGGGGAAAGAAAGAAAGAAAGAAAGAAAGAAAGAAAGAAAGAAAGAAAAGAAAAAAGAAAGAAAAAGAAAGAAGACCAATGGGCGGAGAAATCAAGTAAAAAAGAAAAAAAGTAAGAACAATACATTTAATATATGAGTCTTCCGACAGTAAAAATAGTAAAATCGACTTTGCCAATTGAAACGCTCTTCTGTGGCGAAATCGGTAAAAGCACATCAGGCTATATAACGGTTCCGTACAGAATACAGGTTCGATTACCGTCGGAGGACGCATA